CTTAAAGAGCTGGGCATGTTTAGCCTGAAGAAGAGAAGGCTGAGAGGAGACATGATAGCCATGTATAAATATGTGAAAGGAAGTCATAGCAAGGAGCAAGCTTGTTTTCGGCTGCCCTGGAGCCTAGAATGCGGAAGAATGGCTTCAAACTACAAGAAAGGAGATTCCATCTGAACATTAGGAAGAACTTCCGACTGTGAGAGCCGTTCAGCAGTGGAACTCTCTGCCCTGGAGTGTGGTGGAGGTTCTTTCTTTGGAAGCTTTTAAACAGAGGCTGGATGGCCATCTGTCAGACACCCCGTGATTATGCGGCATGTCTCATTAAGAGCCACATCTACTGCTTTAGCATGGTGAGATGTGTTCCACACTGAGCATACGTATTCAGCAGCAGAGTAGCACAGTGCAAGGGCAGATGTCTTCACTGTGTCTGGTTGTGACCCCCAGATTGTGATCCCCAGGTTTCGTATGATATTGTTTCTAGTGCCCACTTTTGCTGGATATTCAAGCAGTACTTCTCATAGGTCAGAGCACGGTCCACGGTGACTTTCAGGTTTTTTGGTATGCTGCAATGCTCCAGTGGGATTCCTTCCCAGGTCATCCTCAGAGCTCGAGATGCTTGTCTTTTCTTGAGGTGAAAAGTACATGTCTGTGTTTTAGATGGATTAGCACATGTCTGTGTTTTAGATGGTTTTCCCTGTAATAGGCAGTAGGAGCAGCTTTGGAGAGCTTCTGTTTAACCATTTCAATGCTCCCTGCTTGGGTGGTGATGGCATGATTGTCAGGATAGAATCATAGAATCCTAGAGTTGGAAGAGACCTGGTGGGCCATCCAGTCCAACCCCTTTCTGCCCAGAAGCAGGAAAATCACATTCAAAGCCCCCCCAACAGATGGCCATCCAGCCTCTGCTTAAAAGCCTACAAGAAGGAGCTTCTACCACACTCCGGAGCAGAGAGTTTCACTGCTGAACAGCTCTCTCTCACAGTTAGGAAGTTCTTCCTCATGTTCAGGTGGAATCTCCTTTCCTGTCATTTGAAGCCATTGTTCCATTGCGTCCTGGTCTCCAGAGCAGCAGAAAACAAGCTTGCTCCCTCCTCCCTATGACTTCCTCTTACGTATATTTATACATGGCCCTCGTCATGTCTCCTCTCCGCCTTCTCTTCTTCAGGCTAAACATGCCCAGCTCTTTCAGCCACTCCTCATAGGGCTTATTCTCCAGATGCTTGATGCTTTGAGTTACCCTCTTTCTCTGGATACCTTCCAGGTTAGATTCAACATCTCCCTTCGGTTGCGGTGCCCAGAATTGGACACAGTGTGATTCCAGGGAAAGTTGTCTGACCAAGGCAGAATAGAATAGAGGGGGAGCATGACTAGATTGTTTGGGTTGTCCTTGTTTCCCCCCTTGAAGATAGAGAGGGACCACGTTTGCCTTCCTCTAATCTGCTGGAACTTGTCCTATTCTTCAAGAACTCTCAAAGATGATTGCCAGTGGTTTCGAAATGACTTCTGCTAGTTCCGTCAATACTCTTGGATGTAGTTGATCTGGCCCTGGGACCTGAATTTGTGTACAGTGGCCAGGTGTTCCTTGACTACTTGTTTCCCTATTGGGGGCTGGATTTCCCCTAATCCTTCGTCCATTCCATGTTACTGAGGTTGAGGATGGCTTTCTTTTTGTGAGAAGGCTGAGGCAAAGAAGGCAAACTAGTCCAATATGGGCTAGACAAAACTACGGTGAGGTGGATCTGGATTTGGTTAAATGGACGAACCCAGAGGGTGATTCTCCCCAAGGCTTCCTCTTCATCCTGGAAAGAAGTGACGAGTGGAGTGCCATCCGCAGGGTTCCCTCCTGGGCCCGGTCCTGTTCAACATCTTTATTAATGACTTAGATGAAGGGCTAGAAGGCAGGATCATCAAGTTTGCAGACGACACCAAATTGGGAGGGATAGCCAAGACTCCAGAGGACAGGAGCAGAATTCAAAGGGATCTGGACAGATTAGAGAGATGATTGGCCAAAACTAACACAATGAAGTTCAACAGTGACAAATGCAAGATACTCCACTTTGGCAGGAAAAACGAAATGCAAAGATACAGAATGGAGGACAATGCCTGGTTCGAGAGCAGTACGTCTGAAAAAGATCTTGGAGTCCTCGTGGACAACAAGTTAAACATGAGCCAGGAATGTGATGTGGCGGCAAAAAAAGCCAATGGGATTTTGGCCTGCATCAAGAGGAGCCTAGTGTCTAAATCCAGGGAAGTCATGCTCTCCATGCTCTATTCCGCTTTGGTTAGACCACTTTACCTGGAATATTGTGTCCAATTCTGGGCACCACAATTCAAGAGAGAGATTGACAAGCTGGAATGTGTCCAGAGGAGGGCGACTAAAATGATCAAGGGTCTGGAGAACAAGCCCTATGAGGAGCGGCTTAAGGAGCTGGACATGTTTAGCATGAAGACGAGAAGGCTGAGAGGAGCTATACATGGCTATATTTATAGCCATGTATAAATATGTGAGAGGAAGCCACAGGGAGGAGGAGGGAGCAAGCTTTTTTTCTGCTTCCCTGGAGACTAGGACGCAATGGAACAATGGCTTCAAACTCCAAGAGAGGAGATTCCATCTGAACACGAGGAAGAACTTCCTGACTGTGAGAGCCGTTCAGCAGTGGAACTCTCTGCCCCGGAGTGTGGTGGAGGCTCCTTCTTTGGAAGCTTTTAAACAGAGGCTGGATGGCCATCTGTCAGGGGTGATTTGAATGCAATATTCCTGCTTCTTGGCAGAATGGGGCTGGACTGGATGGCCCAGGAGGTCTCTTCCAACTCTTTGATTCTATGATTCTATGAAACCAACATAATCAAAGAAGCCCTTTGTATTATTTTGAATGTCCCTGGCAATCCTGAGCTCATTTTGCGCTCTAGCCTTGCAAACCTTCTCCCTACAGGAGTTAGTTATTCCTTTGAATTCTCCTTTGGTGGTTTCTCCCCTTTTCCACTTCTTGTGAATGTCTCTTTGGAGTCTTAGCCCAGTTAGAAGTTCTAACCGGGCTATGTTAGAAATTCTAACTTTGAGGATTGGAAAGAGCTGTCTTCTAGAAGCAAACGTACCATAATTCAGGTAATTAATGAACATGGTCCTGATTCAGTTTTATGGAGAAACGCTGGGCTAAGTGAAGGGAAACCAATACTTCCATTCGCTATTTCGGTGGTATAGAAACCTGTAAATAGCTCTTTACTGCTTGTCATGCCATGAATTCTAACAGTCCTTTCTTGATGCTTTGAGAACCTGGCAAATCTTTGATACTGCATCTGTCATATACATATATGTGTGTGTATGAATGGCTGGATGGCCCTTTGTCAGGAGGGCTTTGATTATGTTTTCTTGTCCTGGTGAAGGGAGTTGAATTGGATGGCCTTAAGGCAGCATTTCTCAACCTGGGAAGTCAAGGCTCATCAAGAAGGATCATCAAAGACCACCAGAAAACACAATATTTTCTGTTGGTCATGGGGGTTCTGTGTAGGAAGTTTGGCCCAATTCTATCATTGGTGGAGTTCAGAATGCTCTTTGATTGTAGGTGAACTATAAATCCCAGTAACTACAACTCCCAAATGTCAAGGTCTATTCCCCAAACTCCATCTGTGTTCATATTTGGGCATATGGAATATTCGTGCCAAGTTTGGTCCAGATCCATCATTGTTTGAGTCCACAGTGCTCTCTGGATATAGTTGAACTACAACTCCAAAACTCCTCTCTGGATATGGGTGAACTACAACTCCCAAACTCAAGGTCAATGCCCACCAAACCCTTCCAGTGTGTTCTGTTGGTCATGGAAGTCCTGTATGCCATGTTTGGTTCAATTCCATCATTGGTGGAGTTCAGAATGCTCTTTGATTGTAGGTGAACTATAAATCCCAGTAAGTACAAATCCCAAATGTCAAGGTCTATTTCCTCCAAACTCCATCTGTGTTCATATTTGGGCATATGGAATATTTGTGTCAAGTTTGGTCCAGATCCATCATTGTTTGAGTCCACAGTGCTCTCTGGATGTAGGTGAACTACAACTCCCAAACTCAAGGTCAATGCCCACCAAAACCTTCCAGTGTGTTCTGTTGGTCATGGAAGTCCTGAATGCCATGTTTGGTTCAATTCCATCATTGGTGGAGTTCAGAATGCTCTTTGATTGTAGGTGAACTATAAATCCCAGCAACTACAACTCCCAAATGTCAAGGTCTATTTCCCTCAAACTCCATCTGTGTTCATATTTGGGCATATGGAATATTCGTGCCAAGTTTGGTCCAGATCCATCATTGTTTGAGTCCACAGTGCTCTCTGGATGTGTGTGAACTATAATTCCCAAACTCAAGGTCAATGTCCACCAAACCCTTCTAGTTTTTTCTGTCGGTCATGGGAGCCCTGTGTGCTAAGTTTGGCCCAATTCCATCATTGGTGGAGTTCAGAATGCTCTTTGATTGTAGGTTAACGATAAATCCCAACAACGATACGGCTGAGTTGCTGAGCTTGTTTACCGAAAGAGCGCAGGTTCAAATCCAGGAAGTGGCTATTAGCTTCCGCTGTCAGCCCCAGCTTCTGCCAACTTAGCAGTTCAAAAACATGCAAATGTGAGTAGATCAATAGGTACTGCTCTGGTGGGAAGGTAACAATGCTCCCTGCAGTTATGCTGGCCACATGACCTTGGAGGTGTCTACGGACAAAGCTGGCTCTTTGGCTTAGAAATGGAGATGAGCACCACACCCAAGTCAGACATGACTGGACATAATGTCACGGGAAAACCTTTACCTACAACTCCCAAATGACAAAACCACCACCACCCCCCAACCCCACCAGTATTCAAATTTGGGTGTATTGGGTAATTGTGCCAAATTTGGTTGGGGGATCACCACAACATGAGGAACTGCATTAAGGGGTCACGGCATTAGGAAGGTTGAGAAACACTGTTTTAGATGAACAATACATGGCAGAGATGCTTGTTTTTTTGTTTTCCCCCAAATAGGCAAAACGAGGACGACTGAGAAGTACCGCATTGTCTACTCAGATCACCAGAGACTAGAGCTGGAGAAAGAGTTTCATTACAACCGATACATCACTATCCGGAGGAAGTCCGAACTGGCTGCAAACCTAAGGCTTTCCGAGAGACAGGTAGAAAATGAGCATATATACATACAGTACACGCACGCCCATACAGACACACACAATAAATGAATTAATAAAAACTAACATCCCCTGCCACGTGTTGCTGTGGCCCACATGGGGGTTCTGTGTGGGAGGTTTGGCCCAATTCTATCGCTGGTGGGATTCAGAATGCTCTGATTGTAGGTGAACTATAAATCTCAGCAACTACAATTCCCAAATGTTAAGATTCGATTTTCCCCAAACTCCACCAGCATTCACATTTGGAAATACCGAGTATTTGTGTAGAGTTTGGTCCAGATCCATCCTTGTTTGAGTCTGGATGTAGGTGAACTACAACTCCAAAACCAAAGGACACTGCCCACCAAACCCTTCCAGGATTTTCTGTTGGTCATGGGAGAACTGTGTGCCAAGTTTGGTTCAATTCCATCGTTGATGGGGTTCAGAATGCTCTTTGATTGTAGGTGAACTATAAATCCCAACAACTATAACTCCCAAATGTCAAGGTTCTATGTTCTACAAACTCCACCAGTGTTCACATGTGGGCATATTGAGTATTCGTGTAGAGTTTGGTCCAGATCCAACATAGTTTGAGTCCACAGTGATCTCTGGATGTAGGTGAACTACAACACCAAAACCAAAGGACACTGCCCACCAAACCCTTCCAGGATTTTCTGTTGGTCATGGGAGAACTGTGTGCCAAGTTTGGTTCAATTCCATCGTTGGTGGGGTTCAGAATGCTCCTTGGTTGTAGGTGAACTATAAATCCCAGTAAGTACAACTCCCAAATGTCAAGGTCTATTTCCCCCAAACTCCATCTGTGTTCATATTTGGGCATATTGAGTGTTTGTGCCAAGTTTGGTCCATATCTATCATTGTTTGAGTCCACAATGATCTCTGAATGTAGGTGAACTACAACTCCAAAACCAAAGGACACTGCTCACCAAACCCTTCCAGTATTTACTGTTGGTCATGGGAGTCCTGTGTGCCAAGTTTAGTTCAATTCCATCGCTGATGGAGTTCAGAATGCTCTTTGATTGTAGGTGAACTATAAATCCCAGCAACTACAACTTCCAAATAACAAAATCATAATTTTTGAGTGATGGTCACTCCTTGTGTTGTGCCAAATTTGGTGTGATTTTGTTCATTGGTTCTTTTGTTTTTAAGGTACTTATTATGCACAGAGCATTTTTATATAGATAGATATACGTATAAAATAAATAAAAATGTGAAATATTATATATATATACACACACAATAAATAAAAAATATAAACTATATGCAATAAATAAAAATATAAGCAAATAATATATATATATTATATTCTCTACACACACAATAAATAAATGAAAACATAAACAACACACGATAAATAAAAATATAAATAAATAAAAATATTATATATATACATACACACACAAATTAAACTAATAAAAACGTAAAATACATACAATAAATAAAAATATAATATATACTATATTATACACACAAAATAAATAAAGTAATAAAAGCATAAACTATAAGCAATAAATAAAAATAAATAAAATATTATATCTATATATTATATATACACACACGGAATTAATAAACAATAAACAATATACTATAGATATAAATTAAATTAAAATATTATCTATTCAGACAAAATAAATAAATTGATCGAAATATAAACGGTATACAATAAATAAGATATAAATAAATTAAAATATTAAATATTGAATGTTACTTATATATATGCACATACTAGGCTTGGGCGATCCAGTTCGTTAATTTCGTAATTCGTTATTAATTCGTATTTAAATTAGCTTAC